CGAACCATCCGATTACAAAATAAAATTCGATTACACAATAATTTAATTAAATAATATATTATATTTTTTTGTAATATTTAAAATTTTTTTTCTTATTTTATAAGATAATAACTTCATTAACTTAATTTAAAAATAAAAATAAAATATCTCTATATTCTCTAATTTATTTTCCTTTCTAAATTGTACACTCTAACTCTAATTTTAAATTTTCAATTCATTTGTAACTCTATTTTTTATAACTAACCTATGATTCTATTTTGAGAACTCTAAATTTTTAATTTGTTCTTAAAATAATATTTTGATTCTTTTAATTAAATTTTAAGAAATATTATTCTAGAAGTCTTAAAACTATGTAATAGAACTAAATTTGATATTCTACTATTTTTGAATATTTGGCTAAAAAGTTTTAAATTTTAATTATGAATGCTTCTAATCATTCCTAATGACATTTATGTTAAATTTTAATTGCTTTTAACAAGGTTTGGAAGATGGGATTGAATCATTTTTTGCATTAAGGAAAAAAATTAGTTTTAATATTTAAGAATTACTTGTACTGTATTTAAAATTTAAAGTTATCTTTTATTATTCTTGATGCCTTTAGTGATGTAGTCAAGAAAAATTTCCAAATTTTTTCAATTTTTACAATTGTAAATGAGTATAAGAACTTGTTTATAATTTGTGCATTTTATTATATTTCTAGTAATTTAGATATTAATATATTTTATAGTTATAGTTTTTATTTAATGTTAAAATTTTTTATATTATCTCATATATTTAATAGTATTAAAAACCGATCAATCCAACTAAACTACACTGATCCGATTTAAGTTAGATTGATTTAAAAATTTTATTAACCGATTAAATTAAATTAATTTAAAAATATTAAAATTTGAACCAAACCATACCACGAACACTTTTGAGGTGTGCTGTACTATAAATATTAAATCACGTTGCAGACTGATTTTTAAAGGTCTTTTTTATACCATTAGAAGTAGAATGGCACTTCCCTCCTATCCATTTTTTTCCCCTAACTATGCACATTTATTAATAATAATAACATGCAAACTCTGTGAAAAACGCCCAAACCTTTTTTTTTTTTTTTGTATGAATTTTTTTTATGAACAACTTTTCTAACATAAAGGAAGAAACTATTATTGGTGTCACGTTCATATCATTTATAGC